AAAAAAAATATGTATTTTTATTTACGAAATTTGATTCTTGTAGTTTATTTTTTCCAGAAAAAAAAATCATTAAAAAGGCATACTTTTTAAAACCGAAAGAGTCCTATGTTCCCTTAATATATAATATAGGATATTACACATAGTGTGCCTTCCAATAAGCGACATAGTACAACACAGTGATCATCTCATCCTTGTTTAACATTGGCGAACAACAAGAATATACTGATACACTGTGTCACACCGTGTCATCTGTGTCGCTTGTTGGAAGGCACCCATAGTTATAGTATCTGTTTCATTTCACTCTGTTATCAACAACCCCCATATTTTCATCATGTTAGCAATAATGTTGCTTATAAAAATTATTTTAGATATTAAATTGGGGAAAAAATCCTTTTACACATATGTATTTGTTCTCTAACCCACCATTGTTTCGAAATTTTACAAAGCAAAGTTTCAGCTTTAAGAATCTATTTTTTTTTTTAAATTGCGGTACGTTGATTTTTAACTGAATTATGAACAATCAAAATCAGAATGCTTCTTTACTTAAGTCGCGAATAACTCAGAGACAAAATATCGTAGGAACATTTTTGTTCGGGCACGATTTAATAATATGCAACAGCAATGCTCGTGCGTTGGCTGCCAGTACAGCCCTTATATAAAGGGTCGGCGTCGAAATAAAGGCGCGACCAGTTACTCTTACAATGAACTGACAACACTATTTTATTTAATACAAATAAAAGTTTCACAATCTTGTGACGCTGTAACATGCGTCTTAAGCGCACAATATACTTCCGCACTTATGGATGCGGAGCGGAATCCACGAACATTAAACGAATGCCTTGTCTATTCTAAAGCAGTAAATACTACCGACGAGCTCTATGTCGTGAAAACTGTTATCTTGCCAAAGGTCGGATACGGAATGACTAGCTGTGCCAGAACAGCTGATTTCGGCGAACGCTTGGTTTTTTGTCGAGGACTAAACGGTCGCGGAGATTGACGAAAATAATAACTCGCTTTGCGATCGCACTCCGAAAATTCTAAATGGATTTAAATCTAATCGCTCGGATTCCTGAACAATTTTTAAGAAACGTTTTTGTAGAAAACTTCAAGCTTTCACGAAAGTAGTCGAAAATTTTTGCAATTTTTTAGGCATGTAAAAGACCCAAAATCAATTTTCACAAAATGAAAAGAAAAGTTTTCATCTTTTTTAACTCATAGTATTTTTTATATCTAAAAGTTACCAAAGTCACAGAAATAAAAAAAAATATAGTAAACTTTTGAAAGTAAAGATTTCAAGCTTTAAAAACTTTTTTTTGTAAATTTTAATTTTGTTTATTTCTAACGAAGACATTGAAAAATAAAAATTTTTATATACAAAGTTGGGAAGTAACGCGTTACTTGTTTCTGTAACGATCTTCGTCTGTAACAATAACGAATTTAGCTGTTACTTTTACCGTCACTTTAGTTCTTCAAATCCCCTGCATAAGTGGCTTTCCGACCTTACTCAGACGGTCACGGTATCATGTATCTTATATTAGTTCCCTATTATTTTTATACCTATTTAATAGACCGCGCACACGCGCACGTACACATCGGGTATTTCAGATCACCCGTACAACTTTTTTATCTTTGCAGGATAACGTCTAACTGAAAAAGTGTTCAGACAAAAGTTGTAAAATTTAATAAGACTATGCACAATAACTACATTTAACGAGATTATTAGGAGTCAACGCTGGAACAAATGCGCAGTATATTTATATACAAAATTTAGTCAAAACTATTAAAACAATGTACGTTTCTACTCAAGTTTGAGTCATCTTCAGCAATACTTCATTTTACTGCATATAACGTTGAATTATGAATCGCAAATCATAGTCCAATATGCATTCTTGGTAGCAGCGTTGTAAGATATGAAATCTTCAAATATATCCAACAGTTACAACATGGTAGATTACCATATAAATAAAAAGAGATATCCTTAACCCTTTAACGCCCAAATGTACAAATTTTCTTCATGAAGTTTGACACAATATTTTAGCATTAAAACTGTGTAAGAAAAATTCTGCGATAGCCATTTCTTATTGGCCAAGGACCGCTCTTTCCAATGGTGCATGCCAAAATTGTTTAAAGTTTCAAATAAAAAAGTTATACTCTTTTTTTTAAAAAATAACATAAATTTTCTTGGTTTTATTTTCAATTCATTGAATTTTATTATGGGTAATGTCATTAGAATATCTCTAAAAGTCGCAAATATCGTGTCAAAAATGAATTTGCTATCAGATACGGGTGTTCCGGAAAAAAAAAATTCGAGATGGCGGACACAAAATGGCGATAAAAGTGAATATTTTATGTAATATCACAGCCATGCCTACAAAATGGAAAAAAATTAATAGATTTTTATAAGACTTGGTATCCTAGCATTTTTGAGATCGCTGATCACGAATCTGGAGACAGTTTTCAAAAACTAAAAATGGCGGATCCAATATGGCGGATGACATTTTTTTAAATGAATCAAATTCACTTGAAACTTGTTGCTTGGGAGTTTTTGGGGTCGCTGATCACGAATTTGACGTCAGTATTAAAAAATTCAAAATGGCGGCCCCAATATGGCGGACGAAATTTTTAAAAATTAGTCGGATTCACTTGCGACATGTTATTTAGGGGATTGTGAGGTCGCTGATTTCGAATCTAACATCAGTATTTAAAAATTCAAAATGTCGGATTGAATATGGCGGATTGAATATCGCGGGCTTGCCGGGAAT